TTGACTCTACAGCAGCTAAGAGTGCCAATTTACAATCGAAACGAATCAACGAATCGTAGAATGGCTGAATCACATACAAAGATGCAAAAATTGAATCAGCAGCTGCATACATCAAGCCACCAGCACAGGATTATGGTATTTGGGGGAAGTAGGAGAGAACGAGAAAGAGAACTCACATTGAAGTAATCGCAGAGAATCTGCACGAGGCGCAGCTGCTGTATCTGATTGAGACGCGATTCACGTCGATCCGGGGAGAAGCAGAATAGGTCGTTGTCCAGCTGATGCTGTAGCTCACTGCTTCGAAAAGCCCCGGCACCCCGCCATTTCTGTGCTCCCTGTTGATTGCACACCTTTGTCACCTACAAAATCCGTTACACAGCTCAGCAAGCAGTGCAGCGACTTTTGCGGAAAAGTGTTCGATGGCCGATTGTCAGTTCATTGCGGTCAGTGCAGCCGAATCCACAATTCACTCGGATTTAGTCCAAGTACACGCCTGTAATGACAAACCCCTCTGTCGCGGCTATCGATGGCACCCTCTTTCCAGAACTGCCTACAAGCAAGCTGGTGGTTCTCTGGCATGTGTCAGTACCAATTTAGCATGGAAGTGCCTTTTGCTCACCAGTACTGCTAATTGCCACTGCGCCATGAGCAGTGAAAAGGAAGAAATTTGAAAAATCTAAACATCGCTTTCGGTTCACAACTATTCTCCTTTCTTGCTAAAATCTCTCTCCATAGCCCTGCACAGGCACATTCAGCATATACCCCGGGCACAAAGCTGTACTGATGATTCCCACTGCTACCCGCACACAGACCTTTGACCGTGTTAACTGCTGAAAAGTAGAGTGCTTCGCTATGGGCTTATTAATTTTTCAGCTTTTTTCCTCTAATATTTTAAACTAAAATTTCAGCCAAATGTGTTGCCGCAAAAAAGATTAGTTGTTGAATTTAGCACAGCAAAGATGGGCTGTGCTGCTGAACTACCTGTTCGAGGACCTCGGTGGCAGAAGCGGGGAATGGTTTACGAGGAGCCGAAGATAGCGCTGC